ATGTGTGTACATTTCCATTGAGCAGTTCAACATGTAGATACATGTACATTTAGTTGGTTTGAAAGCAAGCACAGTCACAGTCATATGATTTTATGTCAAAACTCACAATGCAAAGTTACAAAAGCTTAAACCTTTCCAGCTCAAGCAAATTTCACTGCAAGCCTTTTGTGATGTCAAACTAGCTTTATATTTACTTGTACATGTACATGTACAGTGTATATACATGTGTGAACCAGCCCTTATTAATGGTTTTCATGTTTGTTGTATTTTGAATTTTAAAGTTTTAATCCCTATTTTTGCTTTCTTTTATTAACTCTTGCAGGAAGATGAAGACTATCCAGTTGAAATTGACATCGATGCTCTCCTAGAAACAAATGTAGATGAAGAACGTGTTAAGTTTGTAGAAGATATTCTCAGCGATGTAAGACAACCTAAAGAGGTAAGAGGCATCTCTTTGACACAGCACAAATCCTTTTAATTTCGGAGTTTGAGAGACCATTCTAATGTCATTGTGCATTTGGGTCATTCCATGTCAAGTCAAACACTTTCCAGGTTCGGTCTCACAGATTTTCTTGAAATTTGCTGAAATTGTTTGATCTTATAAGAAACCCCAAATTCAAACTTCTAGTGTTTTGAGTCTTGTGGTTTGTAAGTGACAGCACATTGGACCTTGCCCATTTGAAATGTTCTCTAACTTTCTATCGTTTCTATTATTAGAGAACTGTCTTTTCTCTAATTTTGAACACCTTTATCACTGGATAAGACTGTCAGATATGATTTTCATCTTAAAATAAGGCTCATAACTTATGTAAGAAACCATCTTGTTTTCAAATGATGTGACGAAGACCAAAATTTCATCTTGAGGTCCACAAAATGAAAGAAAATATTTTTTTTTGAAATTTTGCAAGAAGAAAGCCTGTTTACAAATTATTAAAGTGGGATCTCAAGGGGTTTGGACGGGGAACAAGCTTAAATTGGATAGTGTTTCTCAGTAAAGCTAATTAAACTGAGGTAAGCAGTGTACTATGCCTTTTGAAGCTACTGTAGTCAGGACCAGGTAAGCATCAAATATTTTGTACATTTGTACAAGCAAGCCACCATAGTTAGGACCAGGTAAGCATCAAATATTTTGTACACATGTACATTCACCCACACATGTCCAAAATACTTTATACTTGAAATGCACATGCAGTACATGCAGTTCCTTGTGCACAGTTTTACTCATGCAGCATGTAAGGTTTCCTGTCATCAATCTGAATTTTGTTTTGGTCTGATTTTGCTTTCTCCACAGACATTCATCCGAGAATTATTACAAAAAATTGAGGTGTTGAGTTGAAATACCACAGTCCTTCCCCTCGGCAGCAAAGTTCCGTGCAGCCTGTTTTCAAGTGCACTAAGATGGGCGGGGTGGGGTGGGGTGGGGTGGGGGGGATAAGGATAAAACAAGGGCATCAACAGCTGAGCCGAGGAGCGTCATCAGTCAACCCCAGTCAACTTACTTCCATCCTTCATGTTCTTCAAGCTGTGTACCTGCTCTATGACATGGGAGTATTGATCGCATTTTGTAATGGAGAACCCTGCACAACTTGGAGTGTGTAGTAGACTTGATCGTGTAAATGTTTGCATACTAGTGCAGATATCGGTAACTGTGCTTACATTGTAAGTAGCTTTTCTTGTGTTCAACTGGATATTAAAGAAGTTTGTCTCTTTGAGGTGGGTTGTTCTCAACCCGGATATGTTGAGGGTAAAATTGCAAACCAACCTTGGTTTATCTCGACAGTGCTTACGTATTTCAAGACAGCTTTTCTCACGCTGTATCTGCGATGACTTGATTAGATACATGTGTAATACGGTCTTCATGCCCTTGGCATAACTACACAATGATTGCTGTAAATATGGCCAACAGTTAATGTACATGTACTTGTATGGGCTTAAATTCAGGGATTTATAATGTGATTATTTGACTTAATCAGGAGGTTTTGCTCTCTTTGAGTTTGTCTTTTATAGCATTGTTTTTGGTATTGAGAGGGCCCTCTGCAGTGCCATACATGTATGTGAAAAACAAAAATACCTGTGTAAGAATGAAAGGATGAAATCATTTCAAAGTCTTGTTGTACACCAGTGGTCCATAAAGATAAAGTACAAGTACACATAGCTCTCAATGCAGTCTTTGAAGCAGTGGTTTTAACAGTAGGAGATACAAGTGTATGATTTTCTGTTTATCTTCACAACTGTATATTGGAAAAAAAATCTGTTACTAATCACATCAAGAATATTTGTATTGGGGTCCTATTAATCCTCCCCCCCCGAAAAAAAAATACTGTTAGACTCTTGTACATTTGGACATTTAGACCTGTGAGAAAAATCATCAAATTTCAGAATTTTTACAAGGTATGATTATGAACTTCATCAGTAACGAAAAACTATACTCTTCTTTCCTGAATATCATTCAAATTAGAGTGTCCTCATTGTTCAGTTTGTGAGCAGAAGGGAAGGAGAATGTTATATTTGATTCAGTGGCTGAATCAAACATAACATAACCCCCGCCCCGCACCCCAATCACTACTGAATGCATGTTGAGGAAAAGCTTGTTTCATTTCCCTTCATCCTACCTGTAATAAGTGTATTTACACTTACACAATGTCAGATCAGTTTACTGTAAACTGGAAGCAAATTTGATGGCCCAAAAATTAGTTTTATCAACTTTCATTCTGGCCACTTGTACATGTACAGTTATTAATTAGAGCACTGTTGATACAAGATTCTGCTGATTACAATGGAATTTTAGGCCCCAATCCTTTGTTTTTTCATTGTTTTTTTCCCCTGATAATTCAGGGTTTGGCTGTTACAACAAGATAAGTCTGGAGGACCTCTTCAACTATATATACACGTGCCTTGGTAACTATACTTTGGTCATTCCCAACTACAGTTGGGAACATCCGGTCCCATCTGCATTGGAGTGGTTGGGAAATCCAATCTGTATAGTGAACAACATTAGATACCATCACTCAAAAAAATTGAGTCAAAATAATGGAAATTCTCCAAGGTGTTTGAAGCACATGTCAAATTCACGCTTGTTTCCTTGTCATTCATTTGCTTCTCAATTTAAACAGATAAATGTTGGAGGAATTTATTTACATCAAAGAATTAACAACTTTAAAGTACCCCCCTTAGCACAGCACTACTTTGAAACAGGGTGGTGCCTACAATGTGAGTGCATGATAGAGCCAGGTTTCAGGCCCCATTTTGTCTTCATTTCATAGAAATAATGTACAAGTTTGCAGTTCACTTCAAGCAATCAACCCGTCTTTTTCCTAAACCCTCCAGTGTATAGGCCGCACATTGTTCTTGTGTGCAGAAAATTTACTGGCCTCATACCATAGTTTTGATTTCCCAACCCTTCTGTAACACTTGGGACAGTGTCATGAGCACAGTAACTGTTGAAACCATTGCCCTTGCAGGGGTGCAACATTGTCGGCCCCGGTTCACCCATTGCCTTCTTGACAATGTCGAGTAGCCTCAAGCAAATACATGTCCATGTACATGTATGGAAAAATTGTAGACAACATGCATTACCAGTGCATGTACTTGTCATTTCATTAGCCACTTTACTTTTTTTAAAGGAAAGTCAAATTAATGTGAAAGCTTTCATTACTCAGCGATTGATTTGTTAAATTAGTGAATTGTGTGCACCTAGTGTGGGGTGTGTTAGCCTGAAATTTGTGTCATGTGAAAAACAATCATTTCTAAGTACTGATTATTTCCGAGTGAGTTTGTTTTGGGGTGATGGGGTTGCCCTTTTTTAATCAGTTCTTTTTCTTGAAATACCTCTGTCTGTAAAACTTTCTAGTACTTGCCATTTCAGTTTCAAGTTTGGCTTTGAAATGTTTTAAGTAATTATTTTGTGTGAGCACTTTGTTTTAATTGTAGATTTGACTGTGTAATATGCATTGCCTGTTTTTTTTAAATTGAGCTATAACATATTTTCTAATGCTTGAACTTTTAGCTACATGTTTCCAGGAAAATGTTTAATTCTTAAGCAGAAATAGTGCCATACATTAATTCAATACTATTGTTTCACCATCGAAATTGTTGAATATTACTTCTTCTTTATCCCAAGCCCTTATCCTTCAAAATCCATCAGAAAGTTTCGAAGGATTTTGAAGGATCTGGAAAGGGGCACAGCCCAGCCATTGCCATCTTCAACACCCAGGGCATGATGCGTCTATAAAGTTAAGCAACAAATGTGCCTCGAGTTTCCTGCAGCACGGTTGAGGATATGAGAAACCTTTGGAATGTTCTTAGAGAAATGCCAAAGGAGATATGTACACTGTATATGTACATGTATGTATGTATGTGATATGTACACTTAAATGTGCATTCATGTAAATTCAGGTAACGAATTTAGCTATACTGCTACTGTTTAGTAGGGGAAATTTCATTGGAAATGCTTTGCTAGAGTTGCCATAAGTTTATTGTACAACTGTACCCTACATGTATAAACCAAAGAATGTTATACATGTGTTTAAGGATGCATTCTCACATATGTATGTACACAGTATGCGGACCTTTATCCTATAAGCCTGACTGCAAGGTTGTTCCATAGCATGGCTAGGCGTAGTTTGCTTACAAGCATTGAATACATTATGACATTGATTAAGCATGGCAAGCAGTACTTTCATGTTCCTATATTGGATTTGTACACTGGTAGTTTTTGTTGTTGTTGCTTTTTTTTTTGGTTTGTTTGGGGTTTGTTTTTGGCTGCAAATGTGGAAGTTTTCTTCCAACTTTTGAATCTTGTGTAGAGTGTGTATGAAGTCTTGGTCGGTGCGCTTATTTTCTATGCCGCTCCAGTAATGTTTTGCCAAAATGGAATGCACTTAAAATAATGTATTTGACAGCAATATTTGCAGGAGTTTGGTTTCTGTTGATGGATGGAATTTTATATCCTGTCATGTAATGCAATATACATGAGAATCATGGATTTACATGTACTTACATTGTATCACTTGTGCGAAGACACGATTGTTGGGAACTCAATTATGTACCCATATTGTTGGCAGCCACTAGGTGTGTTTGGTGGGACAAGATGCATCCTTAAAGAGGAAAAAATCACCTTGAGAAATTGTAAATAGAACTTAGTTGGATTAGTGGCAGAACCAATGATAGGGACAGTTTACTTCAATTCCATGCTTCATGAAAGTAATATATTTTACCCTAACTTTCTCATCTGCACCCCATATAGTGAAAGAACAAGGCAGAAAGGGAAAAATAAAAGGAAAGTGACATGGAACCCCTCCAAGCCAGGCTTTTCAATGTCACAAATAGTTGATTGGCTGCTTTGGTGTGGGATATGACATTTTGAAAACCCAAGGGATGCCTTGCGCTCAACCCGAAGGTGTTCAACATGCCATATCCGTTATATCTCTGTCTTGATGTTTGTCACTTGGGTTTCTGTGAGAAATTTAAGGGCCACAGGGGTGTCTTTGAACAGAGCTTTTGGTGCTCCCTGCCTTATCCTGTAAACTGGGGGGGGTGCATTTGATCGTTTTGGGCCAATGAAAAAACAGTATTTAAGAGTGAGGTTTAATGCATGTGGACACATTTATATTTTGGTGTACATACCAGTTAGGATTTCTGTATTTGTGTGTCACCAAGTGAAAGATGTTTCCCTACCAGCAGGCCTGCCCTTCTCAAACTATGCCCTCTGTAGAAAATTGTCATCTTTGTGGGTACATGCCTGGTATTGATCCTCATTGTTCATTGTGTTATGTCACCCCTTCACAGCACCTGACCCCACCCCTGTCCTGGAAAATGAAGCATCTCTCATTGCCAAGTGGTGTGGGTGCTAACTGAGCCAATAAAACTATACTCTTGTATTGGGGACAGCTGAAATGTTAATCTACGTAGCGAAACTATATTAAATTTGTAATGTTGACAGTCTTTTTGAAGGCACCATTAAGTGGACTAACTTTTGTTTCAAACATATTTTTTTTGCACAAACATGTGCACATGTTGTGTATTATCCTGTCATGATGACAGTTGACATAAGATTTGATAGATGGACCAAAATCAGAAACCCATGTATCACAGTCTTTCAGCTCAATGCCTGACTTTCCGCACACTGAATAAAGGCACAGGTTCACTTTGTAATTCTTTTCAAAATATTAAAAAATAGCCTTGAGACGTTGCAAAGCGAAGCTTCATTTCCATTCTAGAACTGATAGGTGTCTCATTTAAAAATGTCTGCTAGCATCTTTACATTTGTAAGGAGGCCTGTACATGCATGGTGGATGGAAATTTTTAACCTACTCTGTCACCACTTGTCTTCGACCAGGTCTTAAATTTCTTGTTTGTGGGTGCTACACCACATGAATCATATGCATTGTATGTAATGTAGGCCTACTACGTCAAACCTGTATGTATTGCACAGTCACAGTGCAACCGATTTCTGAAGGCTCCATGCATGCCATTAGAATGTACTGGTAAAACAGCACCTGCAAAATAGTCAACTCCTTTCTGTCCTTCAGCATTCACATTTGAGGCGATCTTTGTTTTGTACTCTTTGTAGAGGGAAACGAGTGTCATTTCGTATTTTGGGTGGAGTGTGGTGCATTTTCCATTGATGTGGACTTTTCATGTGTGGAAGAATATTGGAAATACAAAAATTTGTTTTATAAGAATAGAGCATTGGTAGTTTGATTTTTGGCACAAGCATAACATGCTTGCCATCAATCAGTTTACCTCTCTATGGAGTCATTTACTTTGATGTAAATATTAGAATCAGGTTTTATATGTGTTTCAGTAATTGTATGATTTTTTTCCAGATTTAACTTTTTGATTTTTGGGGAGAAAAGTTTTGAGTTTTTCTCTTTCGTTCTTGCAATGCAGTGGTAATTTTAAAGAGGTACCTTTAAATGTCAATATGAAGAAAAGAATAACCTGTTTTCAATGAAGAAATGGAGAAAATATGATATACAAAATGGTTTCAAGCCAATATGTGTAACACGCTTGAATAGCATGAATTGCTAACAGCAGTTTTGAACTTGACAAGAAATGTTATTTATAACACGGAAGGAATGGTCTCTTAACTTATTGCATGCTGTCGGGAAAAGTGTGAACTGCATCCAAGTGCATTACTTTGAAATGACTTACTTTGAAACCACTGCTTTTTGTAAGAGTTAACACAGACGAGGGGAAAATGAATAACAGATACACGCTGAATGCCTGAAGTCAGAGTGAAATTATCAAAACAAAAAAAAGAAAAAGAAAAACGATGACTGCTCAGATAGTAATGAAGCTGAGCTCTATAGTATGCGGTACATGTATTTCCATTGAATTGGGCTCGGACCATCGAATCAACCCCATTGGAAGGAGTACGTTCAAGTAGCATAATGGCTGTTACCATGATTCGGCACTCGTCGAGCAACGTGAATTGTTTGTCCCCCCCCATTGATAAACCATAAGCATTATTTTGTACCGTGGGTCCTTTTTGAAGACCTTGTTAATTTCTTCTTTTTTTTTGCACAGATTCAGTGCCTTTCTTTGCACGCCGTTAGTTTCCTAGTCATAATCGGTTGATGGTGCTGAGATGGCACACAATGGTTGTTTCATGGGGCCTGTTCGTTCTTATGGATATGGATCCCATCAATGAGTGATCCCAGCGATGGTACCGGTTCGCTCCCTGCAGTGAACCAGCAACGGATTGCTGATAAAGATATGATCCGTGCGAAACATTAACAAACAGGCCCAGGGCATGGTACACAGGCATATTACTTACGAAATTGGTCTGTCTAGTGAAGAAATAGCGCCATTGCATTGATTTAGCAATATACGTTACTCAGTAAATTAATCAGCAATAAAATAGAAATGATTGGTTAAATGGAGCAGCTTTTGTTTTTGTGTGGATGTGATTCGTCTCCAAGTGAGTCTTTGGTGAAAAAGTAATGGACACTGTATCCTTTCATGCTGCGTCAAAGTCGTATCTCGTGTGGATGATGGGCTGTCGGTACGAAAGAAGTACATAATCCGTAGTGTTAAATATAAATTCACACATCTATCGAACCGCTTGTAACAAACTACTAGATTTTAAAAAGCAGCCTTCTTTCAAAGCATATGTAGTGGGTCATGTGTGCGTGTTGAGGAAATACACATCGAATGTGATTTTTCTTTGACTCCGCAGTGTGAAAGAGGTTTATATAATAATGTTCATTTATACAATATCCTATTTCGGAAGTCGAAAAGCAGAGGGATTAAATATCGGTTGCGGCAAAATCGGCCTTTCTGCTTCTCGGAGAGAAGACGGTTGGGAATTTTGGGCCATTTGAAGTAAAGTTTGCTTCTCAATAGCAGATAACCAGAAAAGGATAACCTGGATAATGATATCTGTTTTTCTTCTACCCCAATGCAACGACAGGTACATGTCAACCTTCCATCCACCGGTAAGGAAAGAAAAGTTACACCTGATTTTTAAGTGGCAGAAACGCAAAACAGCGGAAAGTTGAACCTAAAAACGTCTGGTTAGTTTCCTGGTTACACGGAAAAGCAAAAATGCCGAACTGAATCTTTGAAGACGTTGAATTTGATTTCTGTTATACTTTGAAAGCAAAAAACAAACAAAAAACCGCGGTTGTTAAAACAGGTGGATTATGACGGATCAAATCAAGTTCTGTCACCTCTCAAATCAATATATATTCCATTTTGGGTATGCACTAAGTCAAAAAGAGGTATTCTCTTCTAGAATGTGAACAGAGCGAGCAGCATTGGTAAGAAATATGCCGAATGGGGGGTGCGTGACGTTCATCACCAAGATCATCTGCTTCCTTGCAATTTGGTTCTGTCAGATGATGTGACATTTCTGGTTGTCCGTTATGTGGGCCGCCTTGAATATTGTTTTTATAGTTATTGCTTTGAGGTTACAAAAATGTTTCTGGTTAGAGCTCACAAAAACACGCCCAAGGTACAAAGCTTGGCGAGGAAGACAACACGGGAAATGCAACAGAGGGCGCTAACAATATTTTACGTGAACACAACTGTCAAGATTGCGTTCCACCGAGGTTGGAGCTTGAACATAGACAGTGGCGAAAGCTTTCATGATACATTTCCATTTTTAAAATGTATAACACTGGGAAAGATTTTTTGTTACAGTAAGCTCACCGTGAAAACGCTCTTGGGTAAAACAGTGTCACCATCTTGATAGCCCTTGTTTCCAGCTTTTCTTTTCATTGTTGTCACCAACGCAAGAAATAAAGGAACAAAATCTACTGACAAAATCATAATTTGTTTTCCTCTGCCACTGGGAAACAGTAAGATACCAAATAGTTCCTTTATTTCAGTTTGTGAAGTAATTTGACACGCCAAAATAACACCCACAAAATAATTAGGAACCCACAAAATAAAGATGCTGAGTATAAGGCGCCATAATATAGTTCGGCAAAAGTGCGGCATTTCCTTTTTATAACCAATATTATTCGTATAATATGACATTTAGCAAGAGAGCGCTTGCCGATTGATGAAATATAATTATTTCAGACCAATACTTTTCAGGCACACCCTTGGCCAAAAAGTAAAAGGGTTTACATGCATACTCTTTTCTTTTCCCTTACTTGCAGTTATTGTAAAACATGTATTTCTGTGAGTTTGACGTTCATCCAATTTCTTGAAGAAACTCTATGGACAGGTAATCGGTCACTTCGACATCTTGCCAACTCGGCACCTGCGAACTCGGCACCTCACTGAAACTGGATACAGCCCAGCGAAATGGCCTCATGAAAGTAGATTGAAAGGGGCTGTTCTTAAACCTAACAATTTCTGCGATCTGCCCCCCCCCCCGGGCTGTCCGATGAAATCCTTGAATCCTCCACCACGGTAAGTAGTATTTGCAAAACTTCTGATGCAGTTGAATCCCTGCTCTTCAGCCAGAGGCCGGCCGCATGTATACTGGTATCATATATCGAAGGCCGGGACTAGTATTAAAGGCCAGATGAGAGATTCCATGCTTGGGCAACCCGGCCCAAAGATAATTCAACACAATACTGAGAACACTGACTAGATGTAATTGACAACATGGCACGGAGGCTGTCAATATGTCTGTTACCTAACTGAAGCTACCTTGTCTTTATGCAATCAAATAAAAACAAAATAATAAAAGGATTGTTTCAAATAATGTCATTTGATGCTCTAAAAATATTTTTTCAAAGTCGGGTGGGCCTATTACAGTAAACTTAACTGACAGATAAACACCAAACCGTTGTAATTTCAAACCGTCGTGACCCGTTTGTGGAAGTCTTGCTTCTTAGTTTTGTCATTCTTGTGCGTAAACGTGCTCACCGTGACCCACTTGGAAGTTCTCACTTCGTTCACGTACGTGCTGACAGCTGGCACTATGTTAAGGTTGAAATACGTTGTGTTAAACTAAAGTTGAACAATTCAAAGTGTTTGAGAACCGAGTTGAACTGCGCTGTTTGAAAAGATGTAGTGTGTTTGAAAAGTGAACCTTGTCGACGTTCGGACAGAGAGGGAGGTCTATGTTCTCAATGTTCTTTTTACCGTGCCGCAAAATTCTGAGAACATGACTCATCACGTGCTGACAATTTTTCTGCGATTAAGTTTTGTGTTAAGATTATTCCGAATAGTTTTTCCGAGCTTCTTTTGTGCCGGTAGAACGCCCTCAGCCAACATGTGGAGCGCATGCGTTTTGCTGACAATGATGTCATCCTTGAATCTAGCACCCGACCTGTCCCTGTGCTGAGGTTCGTTTGTAGAATCTGGACGAAGCCGTCTACCAGTCTCCTTTAGCACTAGCGATAGCGTGTCAATGTCACACGTACACGAAGTTCTTCACATACACATTACATTGACCATTGTGCGTTACGCGGAGGATCTGGAAGGCGTGGACGTGTGTACTTTCTGGTAATAGAACGCTGCGTGAAGTCGCATTACTGTTAATGCGATATAGCCCAACTTCAAAATGTTTTCTTGGCTGAATAAGGACGAAAACCGTCGAAAGCAGCCCCACACCTATAAGTCGGTGGTAGAGGGTTTGCAGGAGTTGTACAAGTCGACCATCTGTCCGTTGGAGGAACACTATAAATTCCATGACTTCCACTCACCGCCCATGGATGAGGCCGACTTCCTGGCCAAACCGCTGATCCTCCTTGTAGGCCAGTACTCGACCGGGAAGACGACATTCATCAGGTATTTACTTGAGAAAGAGTTCCCTGGAATGCGCGTGGGTCCTGAGCCTACCACCGACAGATTTATGGCCATTGAAAGTGGGGACTCAGACTCCGTTATCCCTGGAAACGCTCTGGTGGTCGATCCCAAACGCCAGTACAGAGCACTTGGTAAATTTGGCAACGCCTTCTTGAATCGTTTCCAGTGCTCACTCACACCGAGCCCAGTTCTTGATAGTATCACAATCATTGACACCCCGGGTATTCTCTCGGGAGAGAAACAACGAGTAGACCGTGGGTACAACTTTGTGGGCGTCCTGGAGTGGTTTGCAGAGCGTGCCGACCGAATCATCCTGCTCTTTGATGCCCACAAGCTGGACATCTCTGATGAGTTTCGCCGGTGTATCGAGGCCCTAAGAGGCAATGATGACAAAATCCGCATCGTCCTGAATAAGTCGGACATGGTAGACCACCAGCAGTTGATGAGGGTGTATGGAGCCCTCATGTGGTCTCTGGGCAAGGTCATTAACACACCGGAGGTCTCCCGTGTGTACATTGGCTCCTTTTGGGACAAGCCACTCCACTTTGACATGAACAGGAAGCTGTTTGAAGCTGAGGAGTTGGACTTGTTCAGGGACATCCAAAGCTTACCAAGAAATGCTGCCCTGCGTAAGCTGAATGATCTCATCAAGAGAGCCAGGCTGGCAAAGGTACCGCTTTATCAAAGTCTAAATTTTACTTTGTTGTGGTTGTACGACGTCCTGTTACATATAGTATCAGTCTAGCCTGCTTGGCATTGAACTTCTAGGGCAGATACTAGGAGAGTCAGGTTGGCATAGTGGTTTTTGCCTCACCTTCCACCTCTGGTTCGATTCCCAGCTTGGCCCACTCGTGGTTTGGATTTTCAGTCCTTATCTGATTCCGTGGGTTTTACCCAGAATATTCCTCTGGGGTTTTCCTCCCACCTCTAAAACCGTAACTGCTCCTCACTGTCTCCTTTCCACAGGTCTCTTCAGGCTTGTGCGCTATGTGTACAGAGCCAAGGGTGCTGTTGAGGAATCTTTGGTGTCATTACCAGAAATAACTAATAATAACTAATAATAGGGCTTATACATGTACATGTATACTGGCAAAATTACTAACTTCCCTCTTTAGGCAGATACCCGGTAGCTTAGTTGTTGAGCACATGCACCTGTTAACCATTGGAGATGGCCGTTTTAATCTCCAGAGCAGTCAGTAGTGAGGTTTTCATTACCTAGCATTTTCTTTAACCCTAACCCCCTAGGCTCCTTCACTAGAAAGCATACTGAACCTCACAAAGTCCAACAGGTTCATATACTTGTCTATGTACTTGAACATGCAGGTTAGTGTACCAAACCTGATAAACTCGAACAGAATGAGCCCGTTGGAGTTTGAGTGATATGGTATGGATGGGTCTATGCAGTATAGGATGACTTGCACTGAACAGTACCAAACCTGACAAAATCAAGCATAGTCTAACAATCGGTGCAGCAAGTCAGACACTGC